GACCTCTCCTGTCTCACCCACTGCTCCCCTCAGCAGTGTATTTCAGTCAATCTGCCTGTTCTGCTCCCCACTCTGTCTCTGGTGAATCTTCTCACCCGCCCCCCCACCTCTGGCCTGTACCCCAGTTCTTGTATGCATAAATAAAGCTTTAAAAAAACAACGGTGGGGGCCTCCCTGGTGGCACAAGGGGTTAAGCACCACACTATGAAGCAATCTGCAGCCTCTGCAGTATCAGTTCGATCCCCCCAGCCAGGGACAAACCCACATGGCAAGGCAGACCTCTCCTGCCCGCTGCTCCCCTCAGCAGTGTATTTCAGTCAGTCTGCCTATTCTGTTCCCCACTCTGTCTCTGGTGGATCCTCTCACCCCCCGCCCCCAACACCCCGCCCGCATCTCTGGCCTGTGCCCCAGCTCTTGTATGCTTAAATAAATAAATCTTTAAAAACAAAAACAAAAACAGAACAATAGTGGTTATGTAGCATTTGATTACTAGGTCTCCAGATTCCGTGATTTCTTGTCTGGGAAAATCTCTTTAATAATCTTTGTGCAAAATTCATTGAAGTGGGCTGAATATTAATTGGTAACTGTATGACACCTTTGGAAGTTCAAATACAAGGATATTTTATAATAGCCAGAGGTTTTACACAGTAAAACCTTCAGCTTTAACAGCCTCTGTGTTCTCTGGGATTAGGTTTCTGCTCAGAGACTATATGAAGGGACCACAAGAGTAAGACATAGTCTCCTCAACTGACAAAATGAAAGCCAGAGGGCGCTCCTTCCTAAGGACAGCAATTTAGATTCATGGAGTGGAAAAGGCAAAGAAGCAGGTTTCAAGGACTGAAGACAGAAGACAATGTCACTGCAGAAGCAAGAAAATGTTTTTAGGATATTAAAGGCAAATTAGATATTGAAAGACAAATAGGAAAATGGAGACCAAATGGGGCTGTATCACTATATAAGACTTGTTTCATAATTAACAAAAAAGTAAAGCTGTAGTGTAATGTGAAAAGTGTGTATATGTACATACATACATATATCCAAATCCATGAGACCATCAAGTCTCCAACAGCTAATATATGTTGCTTCTACTCGATTAAATAATGTAGAAATAATTACTATTTATTGAGTACATTCTACATATTATGTATCCTATGTACACTATGTCATTAACACTTGAGCTATGAAGTATGTATTAGAGTACTGCCTTCATTTTATGCATGAGGAAACTGAGAATTGAATTCTTATACAACATGTCCAAGCTAAAAGTAGAAGAGGGGCCTCCCTGGTGGCACAAGGGGTTAAGATGCAACACTGTGAAGCTATCCACAGCCACTGCAGTACAAGTTCGATCCCTGGCCAGGGAGCTAACACACATGGTGCAGCAGACTTCTCCGGTCTTGCCCGCTGCTCCCCTTAGCAGTATTTCAGTAGAACTGCCTGTTCTGCTCCCCACTCTGTCTCTGGTGAATCTTTTCAACCCCCCTGCATCTCTGGCCTACACCCCAGATCTTGTATGCATAAATAAATCTATAAAAAAAAAGGAAAGTGTTCATGAATGTGGAGAAACTAAAAACCTCATACATTGCTGGTGTAAACATAAAATGGTGTTATCTGCTATACAAAACTTTGGTGGTTCCTCAGTAAGGTAAGCAGTGACCATATAACCCAGCAATTCCACTGCTGAGTATAGACCCAAAATATCTGAAAACAGGGACTCACAACAGGTATTTGTAAATAAATTTTCATAGTAGCCTTATTTACAATTGCCAAAAGGAGGAAACCTAAATGTTCATCACCTGATGAATGAATAAATATGTGGTATATACATGTTATTCAGCCATTCCATGGAATAAAATACTGATAGATGTCACACAGCACGGATAAAACTTGAAAACATCAGGCTAAACAAAAGAAACCAGACATATAAGTCAAATATTTTAGGATTCCATTTGCTATGAAATATGCAGACTAGCCAAGTCCACATAGAAAGAAAGCAGATTAATGTTTTCCAAAGGTTGGTTGGAGAAGGAATGAAGAGGGATGGCTTAAGGGATAAAGAGTTTCCTTTAGGGATGATGAATATTCTGGAACTAAAGAAGAGAGATGGTTGCATAAAATGTCCATGTACTAAATATCACTGAATTGTACACTATGAAGCTAAAATGTAAATTTTACAATAAGAAAAAATTTTAAAAAAAGCTTTAAAAGATCTTATTACAATTAGAGTCTATGAGGTTATGTCTTTATATAGTTTGCAACACTTAATAAAGTTCTACTATGTCTCCAAAGCATTTTTATATTCCACACAAAATTTTCCAGTTTATAAAAGGTCAGTTTTTTTCCCTATGCTGGACAAAATTTCTAAGGATTGTTTAAATATAAAGTATATTACAGGTTGGGCCTCCCTGGTGGCGCAGCGGTTGAGCACTGGGTTGCGAAGCTGCCTGCGGCCTCTGCGGTGCCGGTTCGATCCCCGGCTGCTCCCCGGCCACCGGAGGAGGGTCCCACATGGCGCGCAGACCTCTCCTGCCGCCCGCTGCTCCCCTCAGCAGTGTCCTTCGGTCCTTCTGCCTGCTCTGCTCCCCGCTCTGGCTCTGGTGAATTCTCTCACCCTCCTGCGCTTCTGACTATACCCAGTGCATGTATAAACAAAACAAACAAACAAATAAATAAAATATAAATAAACAAATAAAAATAAAGTATATTACAGGTCTATTCAAAAATAGAAATGGAGGGGGGGGCCTCCCCAGTGGCACAGTGGGTTGAGCGCAGCGCTGTGAAGCTGTCCACAGCCTCTGGAGTGCGGGTTCGATCCCCGGCCAGCCAGGGAGATTCCCATATGGTGCAGCAGACCTCTCCTGCCATGCCCACAGCTCCCTTCAGCAGTGCCTTGGTCCATCTGCCTGTTCTGCTCCCCGCTGTCTCTGGTGAATCCTCTCACCCTCCCGTGCCTCTGACCTGTACCCCAGTTCTTGCATAAAAATAAATAAATCTTTTTAAAAAAAGAAAGAAATGGGGGAAACTCCCTGGTGGTGTGGGGGTTAAGTCTTAGCACTATCACGACCACTGCCTGAGAGCTAACCCACATATGGTGCAGCAGACCTCTCCTGTCTCACCTGCTGCTCTCCTCAGCAGCGTATTTCAGTACATCTGTCTGCTCTGTTTTCCACTTTGTCTCTGGTGAATCCTCTCACCTCTTTCACATCCCCGCACCACTGGTCTATACCAGTTCTTCTATGCATAAATAAATAAATCTTCATATAAAAAATAATGTATTTTTGATAGCAAAGAAAATAACTGAAAATAAATTTAACTGAACTGTTAAATTTGTACCAAATGTTTCAAATCTCTCTACTATTCAACTGTAAAAGCAATTTTTTGTAAGCAACTAAAAACATGTATTAATGAAGCATTAACAAAGATACTATATAAAGCAGAGTTATGCAAATTCCCATTACTGCTCTTTTCTTTTTAATCAACAATTTGGGCAATCTTATGAAGATGAGAGAATAGAACATGTTTATAACATTCCTGTCATTCACAGCATTAAACAGAATGGTCATTAAAACAAAACTCATGTAAAAAAAAAAAGACACTAAGATTAAAAAGTAAATTTTTGAAAATCTTCAGACACAGAAGTCTAAACAGAATGAACTGATTTTCTGAACTGTACAAATATATACAAGGTAAGAATTTCCTGAGTATGGCTACACATCATGTTAAGCCCATTCAGTAGAAAAGCTGCTTGATTTCTGGTTTGGTAAGGTTCCTTTTTAAAAAATATTTTCTTTATTTATGCATTCAAGAGCCGGGGTGTACGCCAGAGGTGCAGGGTTGGGGGGAGTGGTGAGAGGATTTACTAGCGAGAGTGGGGAGCAGAACAGGCAGACTGACTGAAATACACTCCTGAGGGAGCAGCAGGTAAGACAGGAGAGGTCTGCTGTGCCATGTGGGTTAGTTCCCTGGGCGGGGATCCAACTCATGCTGCAGTGACTACTAATAACCTTGAGCCACCAGGGAGGCCCTGGTTTGGTAAGATTATTGAGCATTTTACTGAAAATCTCAACTAATTTCATGGTGATTTTATGAAACTATTTGAGTTTGAACAAAACAGTATTTATAGTGTTATTTGGTCTTTAAAATAGGGCATTTAAAAACAGATATCCGGGCCTCCCCGGTGGCGCAGCGGTTGAGCGCTGGGTTGCGAAGCTGCCCGCGGCCTCTGTGGCGCTGGTTCGATCCCTGGCTGCTCCCCGGCCACCGGAGGAGGGTCCCACATGGCGTGCAGACCTCTCCTGCCGCCCGCTGCTCCCCTCAGCAGTGTACTTCGGTCCTTCTGCCTGCTCTGCTCCCCGCTCTGGCTCTGGTGAATTCTCTCACCCTCCCGCGCTTCTGACTGTACCCAGTGCATGTATAAACAAAACAAACAAACAAACCAGCAAACAAATAAATAAAGCATGCCTCTATAAAAAAAAAAAAAAAAAAAAATAAAAACAGATATCCACCTTGGGCTTCCCTGATGGTGCAGGAGGTTAAGCACAGCACTGTGAAGCTATCTGCAGCCTCTGCAGCACGAGTTCCATGCCAGCCAGGGAGCTACCCACATGGCGCAGCAGATCTCTTCTGACTTGCCCACTGCTCCCCTCAGCAGTGTATTTCAGTCAGTCTGTGTGTTCTGTTTCCCAGTGTCTGGGTGAATCCTCTCACCACCCCCCCCCGGTACCTCTGACCTGTACCCCAGTTCTTATATGCCTAAATAAATAAATCTTTAAAAGAAAATAAAAACAGATACCCACCTTGAGGATTCCGGGGAATTTTACTTAATCTTTATCATACACTTCTCCACATCGCTATATAGCATTATCATGAAACCTCCACCACCAGAGAAAAATTTAAATAGCAAAACTGACGTGAAATTATTAAAAGAAATAGTAAGTTGTATCATTTTATAACTTTTTTTTACAATATGTGAATTTTAAAGATCTTCTCCAGGAACTTTTTTTAAATAAAAGTTTTATTGGAGAAAAATAGAACCACCACATACACAGGGAAAAGAGCACAAAAATTCAACTGATACAGAACAACGACTGAAAGTCACAATTATCCAATGTTGTTTGCAATCACTTTTCAATTTCTTAAACAGCTCCACTCAACTTGCTTTTTAATAGTCTTGCCAATTTTGCAGATGAAACAGCATCAAGTTTTCAAAAAATTAAGAACCGCAGGGAAGGGACCAGCTTTCAAGATAACAAAGTTGACAGCAAGAGTCTTCTTCTAACAGGACCAATTCTACCTTAAAATTCTTTAAGAATAACTATTGATTCTTGTAGTAGCGTCTATATATCTCAGAGACCATCAGGGATGATTAGAACACTGACTTAGATGGTCATTACAGAGAGGGCAAACAAAACAACTGTATTTCCATGTCAGATGAGTTCATGTAAGGAAACCAAGGAGGAACTGAGGAAATATAGGCAATGGCTGCTCAAAAAGAATTAGGAAGGCATTCTAAATACCACATATTATTAGACAACAGTGTGCAAGTTGATACAATTAGAAAGACAACTTTTTAAAAATAGCTGGTCACAGGTCTTTGAGAGCTCAAGGAAACAATCAAAAGCAGACACAAGAGCCCTAAGTGTCCTCAGTTGAAGCCTAGCTATTCTTATTACTAGTTCCAAATAGTCAAGGAAATAAACTGTTGCAAAAAAGCATTAAAGCAATTCTGACTTCAAAATCAAAACAAAATTTTGTTTCTTTCAATTCCTTTCCTAGTGTCAAGGAAAAACAAACAAGGAAGCAAAAACCCCACTAATGGTAAAGAGAAGACTTTCGCTGACTTACCAATTTGAAGAACAGTACTTTCACTATTTTCTATATATGAACAATCCTAGGACATTTCCCTGAAAGTAGGTGTCCAGTGGCTATAAGAACTCTTTTATCTTCAGTTTGGAAAGGAAAAATATCAGCAAGACGCAGATTTTTAAATTCCCAACTAGGGGATGTGTGGGGAAAATGAGGGAGGACCTTTTTATTTTTTATGCAAGGCTTTAGGAAATTAGAATAATGATGACAGGAAAGGTTTATTTACCAACGAAGAGGAGAGCTGGGATGCCTCCCCAAAAACCTTTGGTAGAGTAAATAGGAATGCTAAATCCTAGGAAGCCTGTAACAATCTACAATTGGTCCAAGTTAAAGACAAAACTGTTCAAATAACATTTAAAGTCAAAAGGAAATTGGAAACTAGCTGATGATTTTCTGCTCCTGTAAAAATTTATAAAACATGTGGGTTTTGGTCTCTTTTGCAATGTTCATATTGTATTCATTTTTAATATGAAGAACTGGATTTTTTCTCTCCTACCATGTTCGTCTAGCACAACTGATCAACAATTTTCTATTTCAGCTCTTTTTACAAGTACCTGTTAATCAGCACAGTAAACTCAGGGTTAAGCTATATACACACATCCCACTGTCATAAATGTGAAGTTTTAGGATGTGTATATACAGAGATTATGTAAAGCAACTGTCCCTCTACTTGAAAACTTGTTTCCAAATAAGTTTTTAAAAAACATCCCTTTCAGTGTAACAGAACATTACCTAGAGTAAAATACCAATAGCTATGACAACTTATTTTCTTTTCATGGGAAATCACAAAACAGGTGAACAACCAAGTCCAGGGTGGTTTTTCTATTTGATAAATACATCCAGAACTCTGTACAGTAAATAAAGTCTGCATGCAGTTTAAGTATCTTTAAATGACATTTTAAGCAAATAAACCTTTTGCTTCATAATTAACGATGTATAAGAACCCCCCTCTCCTTTTTTAATAGTCATAGGGACCTCTTCCCCAGTTCCAAACAGGAATCATGAAGACCAGGTACTTTCTTAAGAGTTTTCTGCACATCATACTAAATAACATGCAAAGAGTTCAACAACATTCTTCTTAAAGGTACGTATTACTCTTTAAAAGGGCATGTTAACCACTGAAAAAGTCCACCTCAACTATCCCATTATACTGCTTCATTTGGTCATCGGTAGTATAAAAGAAGTCAAATAACATTGGATTGACAAGTTAGTTTATCCACCGGCTACTGCATGTGACAACAAATGCTCCAAGGCCAATATTTTATGCAATATAGTTGTACTGGTTTGGATTTTCTTTATCTCTTTCCATGTAGTCCCGGTCAATTAAGGATTCTATTCTCTTTTTAAGATCAGCAGGCTGTAAGAGAAGGCAAATTTTCAGTGCAAAGTTTATAATCACCGGTTCATGCTATTTCCCAAAATTCCATTAAAAAAAAAAAAGAACACAGGGCCTCCCTGGTGGCGCAAGGGGTTAAACACAGCACTGTGAAGCTGTCTGCAGCCTCTGCAGCATAAGTTCAATCCCCGGCCAGCCAGGGAGCTACCCACATGGTGCAGCAGACTTCTCATGTCTCACCCACTCCTCCCCTCAGCAGAGTATTTCAGTCAGTCTGCCTGTTTTGTTCTGCACTCTGTCTCTGGTGAATCCTCTCACCCTCTGCACCTCTGGCCTGTACCCCAGTTCTTACATGCATAAATACATAAACATTTTTAAAAATAAATAAAAATCAAGAAAGTTTATGAAGTTCCTTATAACTGCATTCTTCATTCCTGGATGACAAAATTCCACTGTCTTTTGTATGAAGTCTATAAAAAGAATATAATCCTACTTGCTAATAGAGTGTTTTTCAGATTATGTAACATGGACATTTGCTCGAGAGGGGTAATTGAGAAAGTCTGGTGGGCAGGCAAAATTTTAACCATTATCTTATGCAAGGTTTGAAAATCAAAATGACATTCTTTTAATTATGGTCTAATATGTAGAGTATTAGCACAATGTTACTAGAGTGATCCTCTAATATCTCTAGCATCGGTGATGTCTCCAGCTGGAGGCATAATGATTGTTAGGCAGAACATGAGGATGAGTTTGGCAATGAGAAGGCAGTATTAGGTTTGGAAAATGAGAAAGTCTACCCTATGAGAACAGCTATTGAGTGTGTACTCTGTGCCAGACCCAATGCTAATATATGTTATTTTCATTTACGCCTCAAAAAAAAAAAAATCCTACAAGTTGGGAAACAGTTCAGCAAGATGAAGTGATTTACTAAGCCCAAAGCTCATGAGAACCCTGCTAACCAAGTCTATTCACTCTTCCAAGTGTTTATCATCACACAGTTAAGACTCTTACAAAGCTTGGAAAAGAGTCAAGTACTATACCACATTTACTTGCACTCGAACAAGTCTGTTTAATGACTAATGTCAGTTTGCCACAATTTTTGCTAAACTTTCAAGAAGATACCTAATGATGATTACTTATCTGTACAGTTTTTAATGGGTAATTATAGAAGATTTAACTTCATTTAAAACAACCAAATCTGGGGACTCCCTGGTGGCTCGAGGGGTTAAGCACCACACTATGAAGCAAATTTGCAGCCTCTGCAGCATGAGTTGAAACCCCGGCCGGCCAGGGAACAACCCACATGGCAAAGCAGACCTCCCCTGGCTTGCCCACTGCTCCCCTCAGCAGTGTGTTTCAGTCAGTCTGCCTGTTCTGTTCCCCACTCTGTCTCTGGTGAGTCCTCTCACCCCCCACCCCGCATCTCTGGCCTGTACCCCAGCTCTTGTGTGCATAAGTAAATAAATCTTTGAAAAAAAAAATAAAACAACCAAATCTGTGAAAATAACAAGGCATATTAAGAGGAAAAATACAAAAATAGCAAATGCTCTAAAGAAATATAGTGAATTAACCTGAAAATTCCAAAGACTCATTAAAAAAGTTTAGCAGCTAAACTTTCATGTGGAATAGCTTTTATAAATTGTTTTTTCCTTTATAACAGCTGCTGACATAGGCTACAAAGGGTTTTATTTATTTATTTACTTATTTTTTAAAAGATTTATTTTTATTTATTTATACAAGCACTGGGTACAGTCAGAAGCGCGGGAGGGTGAGAGAATTCACCAGAGCCAGATTGGGGAGCAGAGCAGGCAGAAGGACCGAAGTACACTGCTGAGGGGAGCAGCGGGTGGCAGGAGAGGTCTGCACGCCATGTGGGACCCTCCTCTGGTGGCCGGGGAGCAGCCGGGGATCGAACCGGCGCTGCAGAGGTCTCGGGCAGCTTCGCAACCCAGCTCAACCGCTGCGCCACCGGGGAGGCCCTACAAAGGGTTTTTTTTTAATCCTATGAGTACAAGAAATTAAAACATTTTGTCCTCCCAATTGGCCATAAATCTTTAATCTCTGTAAGTTTCGTGTCTGAAAATCTCTTTTACGTATATATCAAAGCTTGACATGAAAATACAGAAGCACCTACCTTTACTGGAAATTTCAACTGATTGTACACTTCTGAAACAAGGAGATTGTGGCTAAGTGTCTTTCTCATCTTCATAATTCGAACAATTGCAGCATCAATTTGATACTGTCTGTCTTGAAATACTCTTTCTGTAGTGCTTGCTTGTTCCTCGACCTAACAAAAAATTTTTAAAGTTAAGAATGACACCTGAAGTGAAACATGTTGACTTATATATTGTACATTTTGGGAAATGCAAATCAAAACCACAATGAGAAACCACCTTACACCATTGATAATGGCACATATTATAAAAACTAGCAACAACATATGTTGGCGAGGATCTGGTGAAAAGGAACTCTCCTACACTAGTGGTGGGAGTGCAAACTGGTCCAACCACTATGGAAAGCTGTGTGGAGGTTCCTCAAACTACTAAAAATGGAGCTACCATATGACCCAGCAATTCCACTCCTAGGAAGCTACCCAAAGGACACAAAAACATTAATTCAAAAGAATTCCTGTACCCCTATGTTTATTGCAGCACTATTTATAATAGATAAGATTTGGAAACAACCTAAATGCCCAAAAATAGATTACTGGATCAAGAAAATATGGTATACATACACAGTAGAATACTATTCAGCAATCAAAAAAGATAAACTCATGCCATTTGCAACAACAAGGATAAAAGCTAGAAGGGATTTTTCTCAGTGAAATAAGTCAGAAGGACAAAGAAAAATATTGGATGGTTTCACTTAGGGGAGGATATAGGGGAACCAAACAAGGGATCAGGGAAAAAAATAATAACAAACAAAACAAAATTAACAGGCAACTATGAATCAGAGATATTATATAGGGTAGGGAGAAGGCGAGGCATCAAAACAAGGGCGGGAAGAACACAAAGGACTATGGTGATGGTGCATGGGTGAATTGGTGGTGGAATTCTATGGGGACTACATCTGAGAAAAGAAAGCAAATATTGTACAAAATGTACAGTGATGTAAAATATATATAAGTTCAGTTCACCAACCTTAATGCTAATGCAAAATAGCTATCTTTCCCACTTAAATTAAAAGAATAGTTTGGGCTTTTAGCAGTTTCTTTTTGGTACAGCATAAATGTTTTTAAAAGGACACAGTAATCTTCTAAGAGACTCTTCTAACTTTGATGTGAATTTGAGAAAGACAGGAATTTGTTTGAGATACGGACCTCTGTCTCACATTAAAACTTTTTCTCAGGTACTGCGTTAGTTCCAGTTGGAACTGAAGCCAACAGATTTCAGGAAATGCTGCAGTTGATTTTCTTAATAAAAGTTTCTCATAAATTGAAATGGCCAAAACAAACTATATTCATTGTTAAGCAAAGAAACACTAAACCATTCATATTTTTTAAAAGCAAGCTGGCAAAGATTTTAAGAAGAAAATATAATCTTTAGTGATAGAGCAAGGGCACAATTAAAATAGGCACCCATGCTACCAGATGGTGTGTAAATAGGTCCAGCATTTCTGGAACACAATAGAACATTATGTATTAAGAGTCTTAAAATGGTTATACTCTGACCCAAAAGATCATCTTCCATGATTAATATAAGGGAAAGCTCAGAGAGATTAAGATTTAGGTACAAAGGTGTTTCTTGCAGTTTTAATTACAATACTAAAAAGCTATGAACTTAACTGCTCAGTAATGGACATTGCTGAAATCATTTATAATAGTCATGCAAAAGAATAGTATATGGCTATTTGTGATATTGTAAAGACATTTAATGGTATGAAAAAATTCTAAAAATTTAATGTTAAATGAAAAAGCAGGATATGGGCATGGATGGTTTGGTTGAAAGAAAAAAAAAGGCCAAGAAATTACCATTACTTGTGAAAATAAAAATGCATTAGTAATCATTTCAGAATTTAAAGAATCAACAGACTACACAGCTAATGTAAATGCTGTATATATTATGTAAGTAGAGTACCAGTCCATAGGCTAAGACATGGCGTTCACTTAATTCACTTAAAACAGGAAATAGTTTCCAGTTTTCCCACAGTGATACTGGAAATAAAAAACCCACCCCAAACTATGTTGAGTATCAGGCCCAATTGTGTGCATCTTCCCCCCACCCCAAAATTCCCAAATCAAATAATGAAATATACTTAGATATAGGCATGGAAAATTAATATGCTAAGTGTGCCCTCGCCACGCCAGCACTGTTATAGATGTAAAATCTTCTTTATAATGTTTATATTATGGCCACATATAATTCCACTGCATTAAGATTAGGAAAATGCAAAAGAAATACCGTTTCTTTCATCTGGATTTGATTTATCTTTATCCTGAAAAGTTTGTGCTTGAAATCATCATTACAAATGAACTTGTCACCATCTTCAATATCTTTGCCCTTCGGGTTTTTTGCCAAAACTCTAGCTTTGCCACATGCCAACGACTGCAGTGTTCTCCTCAACTCTCCATCCTCTGAAAAGGAAACAGTGGCGGAGTTATTTGTAACTGGCTCTTTAACAGGAACAGCTACATTCAACCTCAATGTAGCTTCCACCCCATCCCTCTATTAAAACTGTTTCCAATTTCCCCCAATTTCAACAACTTCTTCTTTATTCTACGCAGTAGCTTTTTTCCTGGTGGGCCTCTAAAAGCTTCAATTATCATTCCCTGTGGATAACTACCAATCTTTAGAAATGACATCTCACTTCTTTCAGTCCCACATTTACAGTATACCTCCCACCTGGATGTCTTACTAGCAACCGAAAAATTTTATCCATTCATGTTCCCCATAAAGCTGTTCTCTTTCCTATTGCTAGTTGGGATACCACCAACCCATTCTATGCTGTAGTTAAAACGCTTCCATGACCTTTGCCTGTTTCTACTTCAAGGCCTTTTCTCACAATATTTCCTCTTGCAGCATATGCCTTCTCCTTAACTGAAACTTACAGTCCAGTTCAATTCCCACCTCCTTCACGAAGGCTTTCTCCAACCGTGTTAGTCCACAGTGATCTCTCACTTTGTTGCTCTCCTGACTTACTCCTAGTTAGCACCAGACTGGTTCTTGCTGGTTTTAAAATTATTTCAAGTGTCATTTCCCCCTTTCCCCAGGGGTATATCAAGAGTGCTGAGGAGGGATTATGACTTTGTATCACCCCCACAGAGTTCTTAAAATAGTGGACACTGAATAAGGTTTGCTAAATGGACTGATTCAACACAAACCTATTCCAGTAGCCTGCTTGATTTCTTCTAAACTGAACTCCTCTCCCTCATTAAACATTAGCAGCACCAGTGTTTGAAAGAGAGAGACCTGGAGTTCTTTTTTACCCTGTTGGAAAAACAGCAATATTTAGCCATCACTTTTTAAAAACACATGAAAAGTTAATCAAATAACTAATCTCTTACAGGAAAAGCATTTTTCAATTAGTGGTTTTAGAAACACGGATTAACATTATCCAGAAAATCCAGTATGTTCAGTGTAGGGTTTAGGTGTGATCCTACCTAAAATAGGGAGAAGGATTGGGTGACCTTTCTACAGGTCTTTAAGACTTGTAATTAAAAGAGCACAACAAAGTAATGAAAATTAATAATTCAGCCCCATGTGTTATTACGGATATTTATCACGAGCAGCAAGAAATCACTATTTCAAATGCATTTTCAACTTGTTTGATTCAGATTAGTCATGAAAAGCCACAGGAATCTTTTGAAATTAGATATGGGAACTGTTACCCTGACACCCACTCTAGTCTCTAGCTCCCAGCAACAAGAAAGCTTCTGTCAAGAAGTGGTAGTGTGAAAAAAAAACAAAACAGAAGTGGTAGTGTGAATTGTACATCCACAGGTGGGAAAAAGGGCTGTTTGTGGTTTTGCAGCAGAGACAAATCAATTGTGGAAAAGATCACATTCTTAAAATATACACAAAGCTGTGACAAAGTACTATTGTGTTATGTAGATATTTAGATACATTTATAAAACAGCTTAAATCTTCAAGTTAAGAGGGCTGACCCCAATACTGAAGATGAAAACTAAGTTTTAGGAACATCCACTTACCTCTTTAAATTCGGCTTTTAGAACACAGTGTCCTAGGGTTGACTGCCACTGAAGTTTCCGGCCACTGTGTTTGCCTAAGTAAAATGTCTTGAAAATCTCCTGAAGTTTTACCATCTATAATAAATAAAACAAAGCTTTATTTAAACTCTGTATTCAATATCACATTCATATTAAATGTGTAATCGCTTTTGGAAAGTTTAAAGACGATGCCCAGTAGGTCCCCTGATCACTAGATGTAAGGTAATGATTTCCCAACAATGACAATGTTATAGCATTTATCAGTCTTTTTACTCTTTGATCTCTGTAACATTTAATCATACCTTCTTCTGGAACATTCACCTCCAGTGGCTTTTGTGCTTCTGCACATGCTGGTTCCTTTATCACTCTTGCTTCTTTATCACTGTTGGTTTTTCCTTCAGTTTCCTTTTCCTACTACCTGCCTAATCTGAGCCTTTTCCAAAGTTCTGCTTTAGCCCTTTTCTCTTCTTGTTTCTGTATTCTCCCTTTCATTGAGAAAGAGCTATTTCCTAAGCTTCCACGATCATCATGGAGGATTCGCAGTATCTTTATAGTCTTAGCGCCCTTTCTAGACTTCAGCCCCGAGCTATTCATGCCCCCAGGAATTAGGATGAATTTACTCAACAACCTACCATACAGCAACCGCCCAGGTCACATGGGCAAAAATTTTTAAGAGCTGGGTAGTGATGGGCACAATCTGGGGAAATGAAAGGTCAGGGAAATTGGCCCTGAACCCAAAAACTATTAGCTATGCTACAATCATACAACTGCATGAGTAAAAGAGTAAATTACCAGAACAGCTGTCATTTGGTGTTGATGTACTTACTGATACCAACTGTTAAAAGCTATCTATTTTTCAAGTAACAAGCAAAATAGAAATATTTATTTCTCAAACCTAGCAACTCTTACCTCTGGGGGTAAATGGACTTCCATAGGCACGTATGTTGGCCAATAACCCATTGTCAGAATATTCACAGTTAATTCAATATTCCCAGGTACATTCTGGTTCTGCATATACTATAAGAAGATCAACACACAGAGATCTTAAATTGAAAAGCAAATGCATCTCATGTCATAATGATGAGCCATTCAAAAAGTTCCCCATTATAAAATTATATGCAAATACTGACCATTCTGAAAATAAAAGGCCACTATTAAAAGGACTATAAACAGGGCCTCCCCGGCGATACAGCAGTTCAGCGCTGGGTTGCGAAGCTGCCCGCAGCCTCTGCAGCACCAGTTCGATCCCCGGCTGCTCCCCAGCCACCGGAGGAGGGTCCCACATGGTGCACAGACCTCTCCTGCCGCCCACTGCTCCCCTCAGCAGTGTACTTCACTCCTTCTGCCTGCTCTGCTCTCCCTCTCTGGCTCTGGTGAATTCTCTCACCCTCCCGAGATTCTGACTGTACCCAGTGCTTGCGTAAATAAATAAATAAATCTTAAATAAATAAAAGTTGTAGGCACACATAATAAAAAACAAACAAACAAAACAAAACAAAAAGGACTATAAACAATGCCTGTTAGGGCCTCCCTGGTGGTATAGGGGTTAAAGTCTCAGCGTTATCAAGTTATTGCCAGCCACTGCGGCATGAATTCTATCCCCAGCCAGGGAGCTAACCCACACAGCACAGCAGACCTCTCGTCTCACCCGCTGCTCCCCTAAGCAGTATATTTCAGTATATCAGCTTGTTCTGCTCCTCACTCTGTCTCTGATGAAGCCTCTCACTCCCTGTACCTCTGGCCTACACCCCAGTTCTTGTATGCATAAAACAAACAAACAAACAAACAAACAAAAACAATGCCTATTAGTAAGTGCACTAGAAAAGTGCATAGGTTAACATTTTGTTACAATGGCACACAAGGATCTTGTGACTTCATTAGAGGCATCACCAGCTTAAATAATTTTTCACATACAGTGGGGTGGTTATAAGATCCCTTCTCTATTTTCTCCCCATACCATCTTACTTTGGAGACCCCCATGTGGCTTGGAACATTTACAGCAACCCCTCTTCCTCACCCCACCAGCAAGCTTAAGTCTCTAGTTTTTCACTTGTTCTGCTGCCTGTCTGCAGGGGTGACCTGAAGTGGGGAAAGAAGAAAAGGCAGAAAGGGCAGCGCAGATAACCCTATTCTGTAGCTACTACAAGACCAAGGATACTATTGCTCCTAATCTTTCTCCTTAGTCTTCCTCTTTCACCACAATATGGTGGTAAAAGTCAATCCCAAAGCCCTTAGTGAAAACTCAAATTTGCTGTCCTCATCTCCTATGCTGTTAAGTATTTCAAAATCACCTTCTACCAACATTTCTAGTTATTCTACTACTACTTTATCACCTTTCCTCTCTCCCCACTGCCAGTTTTGAACATGCAAATCACCAACACTTCAATACATTTTGTTACCCTAGGTATATATTGAAAATAAATACTGAAGTAGGTCAAATACATTTATATTTCATTGGTGAGCTTTTTCTCTATTGTGAATATCATCTAAGTTGTTATTTAGTGCTTACGATACATACATGATTTTATTTATCCTCTTCAGTACAAATCACAGCAAGGTGGTCACTAAACATTTAAATTTGAGGAATTAGTAAGAGCTTAACTCACTTTTACCTGTTTGAACTGAATCATGATGTCTTTAGAAAGCTCCATGTCTTTAAACATTCCTTCAAGTTTGCTGGTGAAAGCAGCTCCACATTCTATTAAAGATGTTTACAGATTTATGTTTTTAAGTGGCAAAAATGAAAGAATTTAAAATGGAAAACATGAAATGCGTAATTAATTTTAACATGAAATATGATCTGTAACTATTCATAAGAATAAAAAGAAATCCTTACCCCAAAGTGTATGCCCCACTAATTCAGAGTCAAACTCTTTAATCCTGTAGTAACCTTATCTACTATTTAGGCATAAAATAAATGGGAAATGTTTATACAAATAATAAAAACATGAACAATGCATTATTTTTTTAAATGCAAGAGCTCTGGACATGTAGAATAGGATATGCACAATAGCTGGAAACGACATTAACTTAATTTACATTTTTATCACATGAACATACAATGTCGACAAAAGAGGCAGTCAGCTGAAAGAATAAAAATAAGGAAATCAAAGAAAAGGAGCAGAAAGAATGACAAACATACCATGTTTTAGTTTGGACAGCATTGACTTTTCAGCATCTACAGATGCACTCTTCCCAACTAATAGGCGCTTGGCTAAATCTTTCTTATAGAAGGCCTCAAAAACATCCTTGCCTATGTCAAGCAACAAAACACAACACTCATAATATTCCAATAAAAAGTTCAGAGAAAACTGCTTCAAAGCACTTAATAAATCACACCATTAGTCCAATTTATTTAACTACATATTTTATCCCAGATTGTTAAATGCAAGAAACATTAAATCGGAGGTAGATTTTTTTTGTGCCAAACATTTCAAAAGTTCTTGCTATAAAGAGTTAAGACTGCATTCATTTGTCTTTAGAAAAGCTTTAGCTGACTGGTAGCTTTAAGCATTAATTCTCCACAGAGATTAAAACAAGTAGCAAAAATCAAGGCTCTTAATAATGGAAAAGTCAAAACACAAGGCAATCAAGTAACATTCCTCAATAACTACAATGAATGAAATGCATGGAAAAAATAGAACTTTAAATCTCTAAACTCCCAAATCAAAATCCAGGTCGATTATACTCACTAGTTTCTCTAATGCTTTATTTTAAAAGAAAAATACTAAGAGAAAAACACTTACCATAGATAAATCTAAATATGATCATAATTTTATCCAACATTTTTTCAAGTTCTTCATCTGTAGCTTCTTTGTTGCCGGCACGAAGCTTTGAATCTACATATTTAGCTAAAATGGGAGGGGGGAAAGGAAGGAGGAGATTTGATTTTTAGTGATCATGTGTACTCATGAGGTACCAGGCATTATACATGCTCAAACAGGAGCAGGTACACTGAATTTTTCAGTGTTTCAAATGCACTTCTAAAAGTCTTCAAAGTCAGGAAGATCAAGTTACTTCAATGCTACAGAGCTAATAAATACCGGAATCTGAACTCAAACCCAAGACTTCTGACTAAAGATCTAACATACTCCCCAGTATACTGATAATTATTAAAATGGGAGTATGCAGACAGCTTTGTGATGGAGTAATCAAAGTCACTGAAAAGTATGGCCCATTTTCTGGAGTGTCTATTTTATGCAGATGATAAGCAATCTTAAATAATACTTTTCTATTAAAACAGAACAGATACATTATAGAAAAGGCAAACTTTGCAAATATTTTAATGATTAGTAGTAGACAATGAAATTTTATCCATTGGTAGATGACCCTCAACTTGCTCAAGGAACCTCCTCCTCTTACATTAAGGGGAACTTGAGTGGTAAAGTCTAGGAATCACTGCATTATACCACATCACACCCTTATACTAAGTGGCCCAGATTATTAGGTTTATATTTGTCCTGGACTTTTTCTTTCTCACTGACAATTGTAATTTGTGATATCCATCCTTGTACTCTTAAGTTTAGGCCTCTAAATTGCTGAAGGCTTGGAAAAAAGCTATCAGGTTTATTATCAACAAAAGTAAATAGGGTTCAAAGTACCATCTTACAGGGCCTCCCTGGTGGAACAAGGGTTAAGCACCACACTATGAAGCAATTCACAGCCTCTGCAGTACAAGTTTGATCCCCAGCTGGCCAGAGAGCAACCCACATGGCGAAGCAGACCTCTCCTGTCTCGCCCACTGCTCCCCTCAGCAGTATATTTCAGTCACTCTGCCTATTCTGTTCCCCATTCTGTCTCTGGTGGATCCTCTCACCCTCCTACCCCTGTATCTCTGGCCTGTACCCCAGCTCTTGTATGCATAAATAAATAAATCTTTAAAAAAAAAAACAAACTATCATCTTACAAAGAAAGTATAACATGCTTGATATGTGGGCTCTGAGATGCTCTTCAGCTGGAAGGACTTACTTCTTACATCCAGGTTTATTTACTACAATCTTGTCAAAAGTTTGGATTAATTGAAATTTTATGAATAAAAGAACATTCAATGGAAAAAGGGACTGGAAAATACCTATAAGTTCAGCAGGTTTGTTTGGTCTTTTGTTAATGAATGTTTCAAATGCTTCTTTCATGGCGTTGATAAATTTTTCATTCTTCATAAAACAGATATCAATTATATGATCAACCTTATCTTTAAAATCCAGCAATTCTTGAACCATGGTTTTATCTTTTTCTGGATTAATTACAATAGTGCTGCCAAATGCCTAAAAAACAAATATTTCCACTTTTTAACTACAACTGAATTGTCTATGGTGAACACAATTTCAAAATATTTCTAGTTGGAACACATATTTAAAATATCTCAAAAAAATAAATAAAAGCTGTCTTTGAAGTCAGAAAAAGAAAAAAAACAGTGATAAAACATCCAGACTGCTACTATTCATCTATAATCACAAAAAATAAGGAATGACCACTAGGCATACAATATTGTAATGGAATATTATAAGCCTCTGAGCTCTTTTCCTTACTTTTAAAGAAGCCAGCTTTGAAATTTTTTTAGTGGCAATCTGGTTTCAGTGTAAGATTGAAGAAAGGAATGAAATTTTGAATCCCAAAATTGTCCTCTTTCTTTTTCCACATTTTCTGCTATAAGTATTGGAGCTAGAAATCAGTCAGACATCAGGTTAAATTTTACTGCTGATTTGCCACACAGCTATCATTTTCAGTTTGACAGGTCTCAAAATTCCCATTACTTAAAAAAAAGTTTTATCTAACAAGTAAGAAATGATTGCTGACATGCACTCCAGGTGTAGATAAAAAGTCATTAGAAGGGAAAAAAAAAAATCACAGGTTAATTGTTAATACCTTAATGTATTCAATCCACTGCTGTAAGAGAACCTGAACGCCACCTCGAACTCTACTGAAGAGTTGATACAGGAGAGATAAATCCTGAATTCGGTTTTCATCAAGAAGATTATTTAAACCTAAATTTTGAAACATTTTGACATTTAAAAAACAGTAAACAAAAATGTCAGATATTTCAATGAAATGTAAATGAAAAAAATCATGATGATACTAGTCTGAACTAGTTTGCATGTGAGCTGTAACATTTATTTTGAAAACAAACAAGTAAAAATATCACCTGAATGGAAACTAAATAAAGTGACATCAGTTTTTATAAAAATAAAAACAGGGTCTGCCTGGTGGTGCAGGGGATAAGTCTCAGCACTATTAAGCTATCGCCAGCATTGCAGCACGAGTTCGATTCCCGGCCAGAGAGCTAAGCAACATGGCGCAGCAGACCTCTCCTGTTCTACCCACTGCTCCTCTCAGCAGTGTGTTTCAGTGGATCCTCCTGTTCCGCTCCCCACTCTGTCTCCGGTGAATTCTTTCACACATACCACCCCCGTCTCCCGCACCTCTGGCCTATACCCCAACACTTGTATGCATAAATAAATAAATCTTTAAATAAATAAAATAATATAAAAACAAGTATGTAATGGTTTGTGCTATTTAACATGGCAGTTTTATTTAATAAATCAATAAATAAAAACACATTTTAAATACTTCACATATGCAGGAGCTATGTTATATATGACACATTAGTGGACACAGTTACAGTTCTGATTACTAGATATGGCCTGTGATATATCAAAAGCCATGTTTTAAAAGATTAAGTTTAAATTAGGTTCAAATGTAGTTGATTTTCAAAATGAAATAACAGTATAATGCATTAAAGGTCTAAAATATATCCAATTTATGTAACAGATTACTGGAGCAAAAGAACTGCTTATGGCACTGTCAAAGTAAATTTGACATTAGAAGGGAAAAGTCATTAGAAGGGAAAAGATAACTTGGGATTAATAAAAGTGCTTGGCTTTATACACTATGAACAAAAACACCACTAGCAAAAAGGAATACCTTGCCTTACTGTACTATTATAAATTAAGTCAAGAATTCTCAAATTTCCAGTAACTTTACTGGTGTTGGTGGACCCCTTTCATCCTACTTCCTAGAAGCACCTTCTGAAAGTCTAGTGTCAAGATTAAGGGGAAAGAAATGCAGAAATGCAGTCATATACTAGAAAGCTTTTAAAAGATGTTCTACTTGCTTCTACCATTTTAATCTCTTATTTATAAATTGCCAATTACCTTTCTGAAGAATTGCTGTTAAGTGTTCACCTAAAAGTTGTTTTTCTACAGTAGCAATTAATGATTTCCTACAAGGAAAAAAAAGTTTATAATTGTTGACATTTGACTTTGCTGAAAATTTAAAGCCTGGGGAGGTTCAAATAACTCATTTTATGTTAATTTCAATATTCCTATCTACATATAAATGTACTGGTGCTCAGAGTTACTCTACTTTATTCCTAGAAGAAAAAAATACCACATATTTCAGAATATGATTTACATCATGAAATAAAATATTTTCAGTCTTGCTGTGGCTGGCTTTTTCCAAGTTTTGCTGCTTTTATTAGGAAGATAGTAAGTTATCTATGAAACTTACAGGAACTCCTTAGTGGGTGATATTTAAGAAAGCACAGAAACAATTTTACCTATGAACATCCACTGAATTTTTATCAGCCTGAAAACTTCAAAGATCACATGTGCCTTGGATAATATTTTAAAATTACGTCCTAAACACATACACACAACCAATGATCAAAGCACTGTTTAACTATAAGGCAGATAATACCTTAAAGTTTGCATTATGGAAGGAATTGTTAAAACCTCAAATCACATCTGAAAATAGTTACTAACATGTTTGCAGAATGCCTTAATTGTCTTCAGTGATTCAGTAATACAGTTTAAGACTATTAGGTTGAGCATGTAATACTTACTGGGTGGTCTGATCTAGATAAGTAATAAGTCTGTCTGCTTCTTCCTCTAGACGTTTGTTAACGTGATGAAGATATTCAGGAACCTACAAAGACAGTTTTTTATATTATTGTTTCCTCCCCAGATAGCATTCAAAAACTGTTCTCTCCAAAAGATCCTGGGAGAAGCCCTGTCAAATGTGACAGGGTTGAATCATGTAAAACTACAGATAGAGTTTAGGATCCAGAATTCTGGCCTTTGAGAAAAAAAGAAAGGAGCACCTAAGTGAGGGAAAAAGCAGCACAATGTTGGGAAGATAAGCGCAAAGGGCAGCTTATATTTCAGAAAGTAAGGTCTATTATGAGACAGTGGATTTATTAACCATGATTTTTAAATACCTCTCTTTCCTGCATTAATTTTTGGCCTTCAGCTGCATAGAGTCGGTTAGTTTCTTCCAAAAATCTTTGTTCAAAAGAGTCCTGATAAATCTGGGAAGAGGGACAAAATAACAGAGTTTATTTATTCAATAAGTATTTATTGAATGTCGGGGCCTCCCTGGTGGCACATCAGGTTGAATGCTGCGCTGTGAAGTTGTCCACAGCCTCTGCAGCACGGGTTCAATTTCCGGCCAGCCAGGGAGAAACCCACATGGCGTGGCAGACCTCTCCTGCCTCACCCCCTGCTCACCTCAGCAGTGTTTTTGGTCCGTCTGCCTGTTCTGCTCCCCACTCTCTCTGATGAATTCTTTCACCCTCCCGCGTCTCTGACCTGTACCCCAGTTAGTGTATAAATAAATAAAATCTTTTTAAAAAAGTATTTATTGAATGTCTTATGTGTGACGGCACCATGAATCTGATTTTTAAACATCAAAAAAAAGGAGAGCAATCAGCTCTGTAACAAGTGAAGTAGTTAACTTACTTGCAGATCAGAAAGCATGCTTAAAAGGCTTCGGAGTAAACTTCTATCAATTGCTTCACCATTTCTTTCCCTCTCAATCAAGAGAAGAATGCCATCAATTGTCTTATTCTGGACTTTCTGATCACTTATGATATGAGCCCTAAATAACTCCAGTCCCATATCCCTAAAATAAAAAAAATAATCTAAATTAATTGATTGCAATACCACTTCTGAAGAGGCTTAACTTCTTGCTACATATTAATTAGGGCTCCAGGTTTTGAAGCAGCAATTGTAAAAGGATAAAACCCACACATCTAATTTAATCATCAGAGTCATGCAGGAAACTCATTTTATCTTATACAAGAATTGAAGTTAAATTACTGTCTTTCTCCATAACTAAGTATTGTTGTATTATTTCTGTTGGTGGATATCTTCCTTGGTCAAATCAAGAGACAAAATTAGTTCATAAAGTGATCTTCACTCTTCTGGCATTGAATATTAATTGGTCATTTATTGTTTGGCTTCAGTACTCAAAAATCAGTAAACGCTCTGATAATTGCAATAAGTAGATTCTAGGCATATTGGGGTGGGGAGGAAGAGTATTCTATTTTTGTGTATATCTGGAATTTTCCATAATAATGCTAAAAGAGTATGAGTGAACTCATACTTATACGCACATATGGAATGTAGAATAAAATTTAATTCCCTTGGCTAACAAAAAACTTTATAAACCACTATATGCTTGGGCCTCCCTGATGGCGCAAGGGGTTAAGCATCGCACTATGAAGTAATCCGCATCCTCTGCAGCACAAGTTAGATCCCTGGCCAGCCAGGGAGCAACCCACATGGCGAGGTAGACCTCTCCTGTTTCGCCCGCTGTTCCTCTCAGCAGTGTATTCAGTCTGTTCCCCACTCTGTCCTGGTGGGTCCTCTCATCCTCCACATCTCTGGCCTGTACCCCAGCTCTTGTACACATAAACAAATAAATCTTAAAAAAAATAAACCATTATATGCTTAGGGAATGCTAGCTATCTTAAATATTCACAACAATAAAACATAATTAAGAAGATGAAACTGCCATAAATACAAGTCTAGAAACCAGCTGTGATTTTCTGGGAGAATATTTATATATCACCTACTCTCTTCCATTATTACTCCATATTCCTTACCAAATAGAGGGTAGCATCGAATTCTGAAGAACATAAGTTCTATCCAGAAACAAAAAAATGCTCCTGATCATAATCTGCAATGAAAATGAAAAGGGAAATCAAACAGTTTTTATATTTAGTGAAGTTGAAATATTTGCTCGTAATAAGACTAGAACTGCAGGATTCACTTGTATATACAATTAGACTACAAGGAACACACATGCAGACAAACACATCTACCTGAGAATATGCCCATAATACTCTCAATGAACTATCAGTATTCTCTTAATCCTTCCTGTAGTTTCTAGAAAGGGCATACTTAATATGGTTCTGACTTCTCTGCAACTTGAGAAGTAGAGATTAAAAAAGGGTAATCAAGGGGACACTGATACAATTCTTCCTTGGCAAGAGTGCTGAGGGTGAAGCTGCCTTATATTGTACCACGTAGGGTTTTGGGTGGTAGGAATGGGTTTTTTAAGACTTTGATTTGCAGATTCTAAGGTATTAAAAAACACCCTATTAAGGAAGGAAAGGAAAAGGTTGTGATCTGAACAAATTAAAACACCATAAGGCCCCTTCACAGGTAATCCAAATGTGGGAAGCATATTCATCAAGACCTACAAGACAAAAATGTAACTTTTTAAATGAGAATAAATACTTTTGGGTTAAGTGTGATGAAAATTAAAATTATCCTATGGTATAAGACATTCTAAATGTTGGTTTACCTACAACTTAAGAGTTTTAAAATAGAAATTTCAACCAAAATTAGCTTTCAGTTCAGAACAAGAGCAGATATTGAGGCAGTCTCCTATTGCAAAGTTTTTAAAACTAAGATTTCTATATTTGAATAAATTAATTTTTTAACTATAATATTTAGCTGAAATGTAGTATTTTCCCAACTTACCATTTGTCTGCAGTGGTTTTGCCAGCATCGATCAATCTTTTTTAGAAAAAGAACACTATCCAATGAATCCGTGAGACAGGTTAAGGATATTTTAAAACCATTTAGTACAAGTAATATAAACAATGTAAGAATACTTAAGTATGGAATAGTCTATGTACTAAGTGAAATTAAACAGTGCTTTACTATAGAACAGAATGCTATTTCTTCATCTCATATACCTTTAAAAATAAGTGTTATGGGGAGGAGAAATAAGAAAATAAAGGGGAGGGGATACAATGGACTACAGAAGAGGGCTGAGGGGGCCTTGGTTGTGGTCACATGCATCTGAGGTGTGATCCTATGCCTTTGAATCATAGTTGTTGCCTTTGAATCACATAGTAAACCACTGCCTCAATTTAAAAAAGTCTTAGCCATAACTGAGCACTGTGTTTTCAGTTTATAGTTTATGACTTCTCTTAGATTATCAACTTTCCACAAACAGACATTTGTTATGCTAAAAGGGTAAAGATGTAAGGACATTTTATTTAACGTTACCACAATGCAGAGATAGACCCTAACTAAGCTTGAAGTCAATTATTTCCTCTTTCTCTAGAAGCAAAATGAACGAAAATAACAAAACTACAAAACAGAGGTATTCCATTACAAACAGAAAATGAGAGGTAAGAAGGGAGAAGATGAAAATACAGGCATTTTTGTTTTTAAAAGGATATTCTCTGAACTGATGAATTTGTGCTTTGATGTGATCTTCACAAATCTGTCTCAGCTGTTTGTACAAGTTTGCAGAAATCTTGTAAGAACAGAGATTTTCTACAGCCTGCAAGATTAAACACATACTTGCTTAAGGAGAGAATGGGAAGAGGACATTCTCAATTATTTACATAAAATTCTTATTTTGATATTTGTACATGCCAGCTTATTAAAAAGTTATTCATCCATTTAAAACATAAAGTAAAGGCCCTCCCTGGTGGTGCAAGGGGTGAAGCACCGCACTACGAATCAATCCGCAGCCTCAGCAGCATGAGTTCGATCCCCGGCCGGAAAAGGGAGCAACCCACATGGTGCAGCAGACCTCTCCTGTCTCGCCCACTGCTCCCCTCAGCAGTGTATTTCAGTCAGTCTGCCTGTTCTGCTCCCCATTCTGTCTCTGGTGAATCCTCTCACCCACCCCCCACCCCGTACCTCTGGCCTGTACCCCAGCTCTTGTATGCATAAATAAATTAATTAAAAAAAAGTAAAACAAAATATCAGTGCAGGTGGCGAACCTTTTCATAACCAATGTACTGTACTAAGAAAGAACAAATTAATATATCCATTATGGTTGTACAGGGTAAGGACGGAGGAACCAGAACCAAGTCAATTTCTCCCTTGTGAAGACATCCAATTTGTAACAACTGCTATATATAAATGTTGTCTTGTTCTTAAAAATGCTATTGCAGGGGAGAAAAATTAACAGTAACAAACAAACAAATAAATAAAATTAGCAGGCAGGAGGAGACAAAGGGATCAAAACAGGGGAGGGAAGAGCACAAGGGATTATAGTGATGGTTCTCGGGTGAATTGGTGTTGCGAGTTTTACGGGCACTGCACCTGAGAAGAGAAAGCATACATTGCGCAAAAATGAACAATGATGTAAAAATACACATACACACAAAAATTAAAAAAATGCTTACTGCTCTCATAAATAGAACTCCATTTTAAGTTTAAAAAAATAATTAAACCCAAAACTTATTTATACTTTCTTTGGTTTCCCTGAACAGAACAAAGCAGTAATTATTGCTAGATGTATTATAATGAGTATGAGTATTATAATAAGTATGAGACAATCAAACACCAAGGATATTTCACCAAATTTCAGTTTAAGACTATTTAAATAGATTTGCCTATGGTTTTGCCATAGCCTGCATTTCCTGAATTGTAATTCACCTGCTATCACTGAATAAACCCATTTTTTCTAAAAGGAGGTTATTTAAACAGGGGTTCAAAAATTTGCACAACTAAATATTAATTACAAAAGAAATGACTATATTTTTATTCCATTCTACTTAGGTGGATTCTTATTTATTTTTTAAAAGATTTATTTATATTTATTTATGCATACAAGAACATAAATAGGCCAGAGGTGCAGGGAGTGAGACGATTCACCAGAGACAGAGTGAAGAGTATAACACTAGGATCTACTGAAATACACTGCTGAGGGGAGCAGCAGGTGAGACAAGAGAGGTCTGCTGAGCCTTGTGGGTTAGCTCCCTGACTGGGGATCTAATGCATACCACAGTGACTGGCAATAGCTTGATAGCACTGACACTTAACCCCTGCGCCACCAGGGAGGGCCCTCATCTTTTATACTAAATCTCAAAAGGACATACTTCAGACTTCAGTGAGTTTCTCATTATGTATTATTAAGACTTTCAAATTTAAAACAATAGACATAATAAAACTCTTTGGGTGAAGTATGATATATTCACAATTCCAACTAGTAATGACTTAAGTGTAACACCAGAATTTCTTTCTCACCACAACAGAAGGCAAAAATTCCACTAAAATTGACTCCAAGGGAACATCCAAATTCTGTTGGTTGGAGTGGAATTTTATAAATATGCAGAAATATGCAGTCGGAAGTCATAGTCCCAGTAGGCAGGTTCAGTAAATGAATCAGCAAATGAAAGGAAAGCTTAAAGGAAATCCCTTATAACATCGGAGGAAAGTCATTACACCAGGAAATAGCAGACCAATTTGATTCAGCAATTAAGGAGGAAAAGAGAAGTATGTTTATTTCATATGCCTCTCTGTTCACACTGGTTCTCTGGTGGACTCGATTCTTCCCCTTCCTCCTCTAGTAAATTCTTACTGTATATTTGGTGTTCCTTTTGAGTGAATCGTATTTTTCAACATCCCCATGTCCTTGCGAAAACTGTCTTCATACTTCATCTCCCCATTTCCACTTCCAGGATTTCTCAAGTCCTACTTTTCCCATTCCCTTTTGCTGTGTTCCTTTCTCCCATACAGTTTTCTCAGCATATCTATTTATCTTCTCACCCAAGATACCTTTTCCCCTTACTACTTAGCTAGGTCCCGCTTCTTCCAATTAGCCTGAGCTACCAGTGATTCACCTGGCTCTATTAGCAATCACACAATACTGACTTGTAACGAAGTCAATACTATATTTATGTGTACATCCTGTCCCCCAACTCTCCTTAATGAAAGAAATAGATTAGGTGCTCATGTTATCTATGTGTTATTTAACACTTTCTGGACTCTGAACCAAGTAAATATAGTAAATATTAAAAAAAAAATGAATGTATCCATAACCCTAAAGTAAATGTGCCCAGCACACAGAAGAGGCTTACAATGTAAGGAGAAAACTAATCAGAAAACATACGATCACAATACACTGTGTGCCAGATGCTATTGAGAGGGATAAGCATCCAGGGGCAAGGCCCCAACCGAGGCTTTCTAGGGCAGGGGCAAGTTAGGAAAGGATTCCTGAGCAAAAGTAAAGAGGTGGGGTCCCAAAGACCCAGAGACAAATGGATAAAGAATGGGAATAGTGAGTGAGAATAAGCCGGGCTTTCTATGCACACAGTATTTAGTTAAGAATGTTTTAAGGGGGGCCTTCCTGGTGGCGCAGGGGTTAAAGACAGTGCTATCAAGCTATCGCCAGCCACTGCAGCATGAGTTGGATGCCCAGCCGGCCAGGGAGCAACCCACATGCCACAGCAGACCTCTCCTGCCTTGCCCACTGCTCCCCTCAGCAGTATATTTCAGTCAATCTGCCTGTTCTGCTCCCCACTATGTCTCTGGTGAATCCTCTCACCCCCTGCATCTCTGACCTGTACCCTAGTTCTTGTATGCATGAACAAATAAATCTTTATAAATAAATCTCAAAAAAAAAAAACTGTTTTAAGATGTTATAGACCAGAAAAGCAGGAAAGGCATGATCATCTAAGGTAAATTTCAAAGATCAATTTGGAAGGGAACATTGCTTGTATAATTTAGCCTTCACTGCTTCTTAACATACAGACCAGATCTAGTAGTTCCCTTCCTCAATAACCATCCATTGAGCATTTCATGTACTTTTATGAAGAAATCCCACTGATAGAAAAAATATGAAGGACTGAATGGTGTGGTATAATACATGGTCTAATATCATTTAGGTAAAAAAGGAAAAATGAATAAAGACACACAGTTGTTTTCACAAGCAGAAAGCATCTCTGGAAAGATTACATCTCCCAAAAGAACTAATAATGTTTGCTGAGGGGAACTAGCTGGAAGGTTGGAGGATGGGGTAGAAGTGAAACTTTTCACTATGTGCTCTGTAATACTTTTTGGATTTTGCACTACATGACTGCATTACATACTTTAAAAACTTAAATACTATCTTGTTTAATAAAACCCTTTTTATCTTTCCAACCACAACTTTGAACATGGTATTCAAGGTCCAATCTTAACATTTCGGCCAAATGTCTGTTTATAATCTTCCATAAACCCTGTGATCTAAACATTCTGCTTTCTTTGCTTTTAAGCAAGGTTTGTTTGGATGTCATGTATGCCAATACAGTGGTTTCCAAAAAGTGTTTTACAAACCATAGTAATAAATATATTTTATGCCACAATCCATTATACATAAAATTAATACATATAATTGAAACAAAATCTTCATGAAACTGTAACTTATGATTATTATGTGTGATACACTGATATTTCTTTTTTAAAAAAATTCTGGTCACAAACTACTATAATTTCATGAACCTACTAGAACATAAATACCTACTGATTTCTATAGCTCAGTTTTGTACATAGTGAGCAGTTACTGATTCAACAAGGACTGTGTATTTACTAAGTACTCTGAATCCTGTTAGGTGCTAGGGTAAGAGTAAGTAAACATGAGTAAGAAAGTGCTAAATTACTCTTTAGACATTTGAGTAAGTCCTATTTCAGATTTTTGAAATGCGCTTTTAGAAATGTATTCATTATTTTTTTTTTTTTTAAAGATTTATTTATTTATTTATACAAGCACTGGGTACAGTCAGAAGCGTGGGAGGGTGAGAGAGTTCACCAGAGCCAGAGCAGGGAGCAGAGCAGGCAGAAGGACTGAAGTACACTGCTGAGGGGAGCAGCGGGCGGCAGGAGAGGTCTGCGCGCCATGCGGGACCCTCCTCCAGTGGCCGGGGAGCAGCCGGGAATCGAACCGGCGCTGCAAGGCTGCGGGCAGCTTCGCAACCCCGCGCTCAACCGCTGCGCCACCAGGGAGGCCCAGAAATGTATTCATTATTTTACATTTCTTTTTACTTAAATTCCCAATCATTACTGGTAAATTTGTTACCTTAAATCCTTTTTGAAGGTATTCAGGTATGAAATAAAAACATTCAAGCAAGGTTTTATTCTTTATATCTTCAAATTCCAGCCTCTCCCCTCCAAAATCCATATATGTCACAATGAAAATGTGTTTGATTGGGCCTCCCCAGTGGCACAGCGGGTTGAGCGCACGCTGTGAAGCATCCACAGCCTCTGCAGCATGGGTTCGATTCCAGGCGAGCCAGCCAGGGAGAAACCCACATGGCACAGCAGACCTCTCCTGCCTCGCCCACTGTTCCCCTCAGCAGTGTCTTTGGTCTGTCTGCCTGTTCTGCTCCCCACTCTGTCTCTGGTGAATTCTCTTCCCCTCCAGCGCCTCTGACCTGTACCCCAGTTCTTGTATAAATAAATAAATCTTAAAAAAAAAAGAAAATGCATTTGATTAAAAAAAAACCTCCAAAAATATATAAATGTGTACCTAATGAAATACATAACTATAGTTATTAAAATATGATTCTT